GGGCATGAGAATGTGATCCAGTCCTGGCCAGCGGAATCTGATGGGAGGACTGAAGGGTTCTCCAGGAGAGGTGTGCCTCTGTGATAAAAAGAAACGCATGAGGGAGTGCCTCCTCCGGGTGTTGGGTGTAGTAGTGTCCAACATGCAGTATTGCAGCCACCTTATAATCAGGGAGGCTATAATGACATAGCAGTCATGCTGAAGATGGCAAAGTGGAAAGATGGAAAGCACCTGGGCCTATGCAGCATGGAGAACAGCCCTGAAGCTGTCTCATCTCTGGACTTCTTGCTAGGTAAGATAATAAGTGTCCTTAATATTTAAGCCACTTTAACTTAGCTACTCTCTTACTTGCAACTAAAAGCATCCTAACTCTCAAGTCCCAAGAGGCATTGCCACGGAGAAAAAAGAGTTCTGGAATTTGCATCAAATGACCTGGGTTTCTACCTGGAATAGTGAGTTGAACATGGCTCACTATTAATTGGCCCAGGTGACCCAAATTGCTTAATCACTCTGAATCTCATTTTCCATATCTGCAAGATGGAGATAACATGCAATAACACAGTAACATCAATAAAATGAAGATAATGTGGGATAATTATGAAAATCACCTGAGATAATGTGAATGTAACCACTCGGTTGATAGCCCTGTTTTGCTCAAATGCAATTTTCCTATGTAATAATTAAACCAGAGACTTTTAAAACTGTTGTCATTCTTCTAACCCAACTCCTTTAATTTACAAATAAGAAATGACTCACTCAATGTCACACAACTGGTTGCTAACATAATTAAATCACACATTTGATTCCAAGCCAATGCTATCATGCTATCCTTGTGTTGAAAGCTAAATTAAATATTGTGTAGGTTAGCTCTTATTCATTTAATGAACACATAAAATAATACAGACACTACTCCAGGTATTAGGGACTCCATGGTGAACAACATCAACAACAAAAATGTCCCTACCCTTGTGAATTTAATAGACTAGAAAGGAAATTATTCAATCTGTACCTTTATTTACTGAGTTCTTATTATGTGAAAAGCACTATGCTGGGACTGCTGTTCAAATGCAAACACAAATTCAAAACATGTCATCCATGTTCACCAGGTTTTGCTAAAGATGAATAATGTAAAAAAGTCTAAATTTTACTCAACTGATATTAGTATTAAAAATGGCAAGTTTATTAGAAAGAGTTGTGAATATCTGTGCCAGTTTCTGAAAAATGGATAAAGGATGGCTAGGACTCTGCTGTAATTAAAGCAGCAAGATTGAATGAAAAAAGAGGGGTAGGGCTAAACCTACATCCTCCTACAATATCTGAACCTCAAGGTTTGGCTCAAATGGAAAAAGCCAATAGGGAGCATTCAGCGACTCCTTCCCTTCCTTGAGCCTCTATCCAGTGCTCCCCTTTTACTCCAAATTTATTTGGAATTCCTTTTCCATTTTACTTAAATATTTACATGTAAATGAGATGATGGGACAGCATCCTATACAACTGATGAGACAGAGATAGTGACTTCCAAATTTCCTACTGGAACTAGCCACCAGGGTGCTGAGACTAAGCTGTTAGTTTGTGTATTTGAAAGTTTTCTTTTCAAATACAATAAAATTATCACTTGGGAAAGAAATATTTAAAATCTGTTGTTTTGCAACATCTTTTCATTTAAAAAAAAAAAACTAGTAAATGCAAATATCCTGGGGTAGAGGGAAGTAGCAAGTAGAATACTCGCCTTCTGCCTTTTGTGGAAAGTACACTGAGAGGACAAAACCTTTTCATGTGTTCCTCTTTATATCACACCCTGTAATCAAAGCACAGCCAGGCAAGTTCCCCTTAGCTTCTAGCTTCATCTTTTAATGCACAGGGATAATTTGAGGTGCCACAATCTTAAATATAAAAATATAGTGTGGCATAGATTTCTTGAAGGCAAACACCAAATCTCCTGAGAGCAGAAATGACCCCCAGAGGCCTTTGGATTGTGGTGTTCAATCAGCTCTGGGCTACCAGCTTTCCTATCAGACTCTGGGTACGTTAAATTTGCAAACTGGCAGGGAGGATCACTTCGACCTCACTAATCATGAGTCTCGACTGGCCTTTCACTGGTGCAAACCCCATACCTTGGGTTTATTGACTTCAGTGTCTGGAAGTGTCACTGAAAGTTGGGCAATTTAACTATGGGGTAATATGTCAAAAATATACATGAGCTTTGGATCCAAATAATTTTGGGGTTTGAATGCCAGAAACTCAAGCCTCTTTTTAGAGATATAGTCTTGGACAAGTCACTTAAAATCTCAGTGTCTCTGTTTTTTTTATCCATAAGATGGAAACCATACCTATCTAAAGGTTGTAGTAAAGACTAGATCTAATAAGTGCAAAGGGCTGTCACGTGCAAGATACTCAAAACTGGTACCTAGAGTTTTTACATGGTCCCAAACAACAATCTGGAAGATTTCTACCATGTCCTGAATTCATCTCCAGAGCAGCCACCTTCCAGCACCTTGCCAAGGGAACCTATTTGAGTAGATGTCTTTCTTTCAACCTGGGGTACTCACTTACAAGGAAGGCAGACTGATCCTTGGAAGGATCTTTCCAAGGATTCCTGACCTGAGTTTCTCCACTTGTTCTGGGCTCCACAGATAGCACCTGAACCTTGGAGAGAACAGGGGTCAGATAGGCACCAGGTGTGAGAGCTCCTAACTCAGGCAGACAGGTATGGGCTATGGTGGGAGGGTGTGCCTCTCTGTGATAGTCCATACAGTCCTTTAACTTTTTGTTCCCTGGAAGGGAGAGGGAAGGAAGGGAAAGGAAGGAGAAAAGAATGGAAGGAAGAAACACAAGTGGATTTTCCCAAAATAAGTGCTGATGCCTCTAAGTATTTTTGATTTGTTTTTTAAATACTATTGTTCTCTAAACAAACTGGGATAAACCTAGATGATACCTGGAAGCAAAATTTTAATTCTTGTTTGGAATACTCTAAGAAGTATTATGTCCAAAATCATCAAAATAAAAAGGTTTAATTCATTTTGATTGGTTAAATAATATCACCATCTGGGGACAGGAGAGGCAGAAAAAAAATGTGTCATGATTTTTTTAATCAATGTCAAAATCAACATTTTGGAATACAAAATTTAACCTGTTTGACATCAGTTGGGCTATAAAAATTAAAACTTTCCAAATTGTTATTAGGCTAAGAAACTTGATTGCTTCCTAGAACAATAGAAAACAAATGCTTGTCCTTTGGGGGCTACTTATCTATTCTAAGGAAGAGTTGGTCTTAAAGGAGAGAAAGAAAAAACAAATGTCAATTCCATCTTATTCAGAGAAAGTAGAGGGCTGAGAGACTGGGAGAGACCACAACAGCCTCACAGTCTACTGTTGGCCCCTTTATTATCTGCACATTCATTGTGACTTAAGTCACCCATACATCCACTTTAGCACTTCAAGCAAAACATGCAAACCTCTCTCTGGATCACAAGACAGTACCTGCCAAACATTTCTGCGCAACCACGGTGGCAGCAGAAAAACTGCCTAGCCTGCTAATCCTTTTATTATTAAGTTTAGCAGTGGTGCTTAGCTCAGAGTGAAATTTCAAGATTCTTCAGAAAATTCAACCAGAGCCTACTTTCCTGCGAGATCATAGGGCATCACATCTCTGTCTTGAAACCTGCCTGGCTATGAGCTGACAGATGAATTGCACTGTCCTAGTGCCATAAACTCCATATATATATAAAGGTTTAATTCGTTTTGATTGGTTAAATGATGACACCATCTGGGGACGTTAGATTTTTTTTCTAATAGGTAGGGAAAGACCTTTCATTCATATATGGTTAACACACAGTCTAGAGAGGATTCCTGCCACTGGGAGACGCTGCCCCATTCACCTCTCACAGGCATGGTCCTGGAACCTAAAGACTCAAGACTGGTAGGTGAGAAGAGGAAATCCCAGAAATAATTAAAAATTTTTGAAGTCAGAAGCTAATAGTACCGAGCCCCTGACACGACCTTTCCAGATTGTGTGCTCCTAGTGGGGCATCTTTGGGATCAGGGAAAGAGGCACAGACTTGCCTATATATATACACGCATCGCAAATGCACACACACGTGTGCATGCACACACACACACTCGCAGTTCACACTAGATCTGCAAGCCCAAAGGCACTTACTACCCAAGGAAAGGGATGCCAGCAAAGATGTATTTGCCAAAGCAACAGCGCATTCTCTACATTGGGCAATAGTGAATGTCCGTCAAGATTCCAAAGGACTCTTTTTCCCAGGACCCGGTTCTCTGCAGGATTCCCCATTGCTGGCATCACAAATCCTTATCCTTTCTCCGAAAAGCTCGGACTTCACGTGTTCCTCTCGAGGTAGCTCCAGTTCAACCCTGTGCGCATCGCACTTCTCAAAGCTGGAGCCCAAGGCTACCCAATCTTTCTCACTCTGGGGAAACTTCGACATTGCCCCACACAGAGAAGTAAAGACCACTGGCAGAGGGGCAGGAGGGAGCCGGAAGAGGGTCCCTAGACTGAGGGCACCTTTGGAGCCTGGGCGCGGGAGAGAGAAATGAGTGAACCCGGACTGGTGCATGCCTTATCCACGTGGAGAAAGGGAGGAAACAAGAGTGGGCGACAGGCAAGTGTCCCTCTCAGCTCGCGGGGCTCCCACTTCCTGGTGAAGCAGGGTCAGAAGGGGCCAGGGGCCCCCGGAGGTAATTACCCAGCTCCCCCAACCTGGGGACAGCGAGACAGGAGTGCAAGGTGCATGTCAGGTAAGGGGCCCGGGCGCAGATAAGGTGCGCCTGGAGCCTGCGGAGGACCATGCCCTCATGGCTGGCATTTAAAGACCCCAGCCTCGGAGGGCAAACGAGGAGAAATCTGGCTTTCTAGCCGGACTCCTGAGCTCGGGTGGGTTTCCTACCCGCGCACGCCCACCCTCAGAGCACCCCTTCAGCCCTGCTCCCGGGAGGAGTACCCCGCGCCCTGCACCCTCTCCGGGTGCTTCCCGCACCTGGATGTGGCAGGAGATCTCCGAGTCGTCCAGCAGCCGGATGGTGCATTTCATCTCCTGGTTGAGCGATTTGATGCTGGAGCTCCGAAAGTGGATCATTTTCATGGTCCTCCTGCCTCTCCGCACACAGTGGCAGGAAGCGAACATGCACCGCAGCAACCGGGAGCGAGCGAGAGGCTAGGGCCGGCGCGGCGGGGCGCTCACCGGCGCGGACACACACACTGGCTCACGCAGCGTCCGGGACACCCGGGCGCGGCTCAGCCGGGGGACAGCGGCAGCGTCGGATGCCTGCGGCCACACATGCTGGGCAGCCGGGGCTTGGCGGGCGGGTCCCTCTCTCCTCCCTCCTCCCTCCTCCTCCCTCCCCCTCCCTCTCCTCGGCCTCGCCCGCTTCTTTCCCCGCCTCCTCCTGTCGCGCGCGCTAGTGCGCCTCCCTTCGCCAGGGCTGGATCGCAAAGGATACACAGAGCCCGCGACCCCCAGCGGGCGCGCTACGCACTCACTCCCACGCGCACCGAGCAGCTGGAGGCGAAGGCGGAGGGACAGCTGTTTTGGGTGGCCCGGGAGCCCTAGCAGTGGCCTGCTCCGCCGCCGCTGCCGCTGCGTCAGGCTGGGCCCCAAGCATTCCTCGGTCTCTCCTCCGCCTCCTTTGCTGGCAGCTATTGATCTGGCTCCTGGTAGTGGTTTGTCCCAGTCCGGAGGGCCACCCTAGGCGCCCGACAGCACCCCGCACTGCTCCGCCCCAGAAACCTGGCCGCGAGCAAAAGGCGAAGAAGGATCCTGACCCACTCCCGCAAGGGGGATTCCACTGCGGGAAAGGATTGTTGAGTAGATGGAGAGCCCCCAAAGAGTGACAGGAGGCAAGCTACTCCAGAAATACCGCTAATAGTAACAATGTCTGTTCCTCATGGGGATTTTTTTAAACCGTTGGTTTACTTTATATTAACTGGGAGTCAATCCCCTTCTTTAAGAAATTTAGAGCTTTCCTCAAGCAATTTCTTGTTTATACCTCCCAACGTCTCAGTATAATGTGTGGTTGTACATTAAACCCTGACAAGAAGGATCCCTATCCTGCTCTTCTTCCTTTAGAGAATCTCCTTCACCTCCAGTTGCCCAGGAATGTAATGGCAAAGGAGATGTGTCTCATCCCGTTTTACACCAATCTCTGCGTGCGGGGAACCCTATGATCTCTTGGGAAATTGCTATCATTCCCAGAGGAACACAAGCCCCTGTGTGATGTTCCCTAGGCCCAATTGGGTGACCAACTGTGGCCTTTAAGGCAGCTATATGGAGCTTAGAGGTGGGGACTTGGATAATAGAATAGAAACTGATGGGAACCCTCTTGCCCTGCTGCCCTTTCTTGAACATAAAGGAATGTTTGTTAGAGGAAGGACTTGCCCAGCTCTTTCAAGGTTTGCCACACCTGCCAGGAGCCCCCTCATCCAAAGGTGTGTCAGGTCCTGTGGAGAAGGCAAGGTCCAGGAATTTTACCTACCACGGTACTGTGTAATAGGCCACAAATGCTGTAGGACACCTGGTGGGGTTGACTGTGGCTAGGTGCTTGCATTGCCTATGGACTTCTCCCTCTACCTGCTCCTGTTTCCTCCCCTCCTTCATCATAATAAACATCCCACAGGCTAGTGTCTGCTTCTGGATTCACCAAACTGCAACAATTTGTCCAGATAGGAAGATAGAGTATGTTTATTATAACATTTGATAGCTGGATTTTGACTTTTAAATACTTGGAAATAGTACATGAGCCATCTTATATACTCTTCTCCTGGGGCTTCGAAAATTAGGGCAGAACCTAAAGGAGAAGACAGGGTCTAGCAAGATATTGATTTGATTCTTGGCCCAGCTACTGCCCACTCTGTGGATCTTGGAAAGTCTCATCATTTCTTTTCTCAATGCCAAAGGGGAATACAGCTGCCTCCCCTCTCACAGGTGAGAAGCTGGGATGAGACAAGGCCAGTGGAGCACAGGTTACTATTTGTAACCTGCAAAGCCACATATGTATATATGAAGTGTCAGTGATGATAGCCACTCTAGTTTGAAAACTGCAACTATGTTTGAATCATCTCTCCCAACCCAAAAAGTAGGTAGCCAAGAAATCAAAGAAAAGTCACCACCCAACATAATCCATGATTTTCCTCCAAGTCCACACACTTATTCATCTTATTATAGTGATCATTAGGCTCCAAATTATTATCTCATATTTCAAAGAAGAAAAAAAGGCCCAAAAAGGACAGTATGTAGAAAGACAAAACAAAGATCATCCAATGTGGTTCTTCAAGAAACAGAGTTTGAGGATATGAGAAGAATCTGAGATTGGGTATCTGCCCTATTTAGGAATAAAGGCTCAGATTTCAAGTAGTATAAAAATATGGGCTCTGGAACCCCTTAGCATGTGTCAGGGGGAAAACAGCTAAGTACATTACCTTTTACCTGAATTGAAGTACCCACTGAAGACAAGTCTTTGGGAAATCAAGTGTCCAAAATCTTGTCCTATGGGAAATCATTGTCCAAAATAATAATAATAATAATAATAATAATATAATTAAGAAGAAGAAAAAGAAGAAAGAGGAACTAAAAATGAACTCACAAGAATGAGTTTAAACCTGAACTACTTAAAGAAAATCAAGGATACTCTCAGAGTCCTAAATATTCAGCTCAAGACTAAAAGAAGCTGTATTCTTTCTTGTGTTAGCTTTGCACTGCCATGGCCAACTGCCTTAGTCTGGCTGGGCACAAATAACCGGGAGGTCACGAGCCACTTGTAGATTCAAGCAGGAATGAACTTTATTCCAGAACCCAATGGGAACTCCAAGAGAACTCAACAGGAACTCAATGGGAACTCCGCGAGAACTCAAAAGTAGCAGGCACCTGAGGCAGCAAGAACCTCCCCATTGCCGGACAGCAGAGGTCTACATATACAACTGAACACACAGCTCGTCCCAACCCAGAATCATCCAGTTACAGCAATCAGTCATCATCCCAAAAATTATACACAGCTTAACCCAATTATCACCATCCCAATAGCTCGCCGGGGTTACCTCCCAACCACTCCTTCTGGCAAAATGCCAGGCACCATCCTGACTTGCTTGTGGCTCTCAACAGCCAACATCCCTACATACCTGACAAGAAACAGTTAGGGGAAGAAACGTTTATTTTGGACTACAGTTTTAGAGGTTCGGTTCATGGTTTACCAACTCCATTGCTCTGGGTCCTGAGGTGAAACAGAACATCATGGTAGAAGAGGTGGCAGAGGAAAGTATCTCAAACATGGCAACCAGAAAGGAGTGGAGAGGGGGGAGGTCAAGGGATAATATAATCCCCAAGGGTACACCCTCATTGACATACTTCCTCCAGCCTCCTCCTCCCTGCCTACAGTTACCCACATTAATCCATTCAAATTATCAATCCATCAAATGGATTCATCCACTAATTACATTATAGCTCTCATAATCTAATCATTTCACCTCCGAAATGCTTTGTCTCACACATGGGTTTTATGGGGGCATCTCATATCCTAAGCATTTCTATAACAGAGCTGAAAGAAATTTTTATTAATTGAAATACAAGACTAAAACAACTAAAAACCAAACTTAAAACTTCATCTACAAGTTGCCAAATTATAAAGTCAATTTAATCATCAGCCTCATCAGATTTCATAAGTGAAAGACTTAGCATCAGAAAAGAGTGGGACTCTGGAAATAAGAATAGAACTATAAAAGAGAATTTGGATGATTCTTAGTAACTCAAGCCCAAGCACTTCTTGAGAGCAATAGCAGACCTTCTTACCTTATGTAATGAGGTGTTCCTGCCTTGTTTGAAGACCCTATCACACTAGAAGCAGTTACCTTGATAAGAGAAGCCAACCTTCTTCTCCCTCTCCTATCACCGATGTCTACTTCACTCTTAATACTTGAATCATATCCAGGAACTCCCTGGGAGGCTAATTACAAAGTCAACCCTAGGAAGAAAAATAACTACAAGATTCTCCTAATTTAAATTGAAGACTGTGTGTTTGTATGAACCTGTTAATTCAGTGTACTCTTCAGTGACTTTGGTTTCAATGTACCATCTAAACTGATTGACTTTTGAACTCAGTTAAATAAAAATATGAAAGGAAGAATCTCTTGGTATGTGTGCAGGAAATTATCCAAATAATCACAGAGAAGGAAGCATTGAAATGGATTTTCTCGAGTAGCCCACTTGTATCTCTTTAATCATGTCCCCCACACCAAGGCTTTTAGAGAATCATTCTAAGAAAAGAGGTGAAAGACCTCTACAATGAAGACTACAGAATATTAAAGAAAGAAATTGAAGAAGACCTTAGAAAAATGGAAATATCTCCCATGTTCTTGGGTAGGCAGAATTAATATTATCAAAATGGCCATACTACCAAAAGCATTGTATGGATTTAATGCAATTATTATTAAAATTCCAATGACATTCTTCATAAAAATAGAAAAAACAATCATGAAATAAATTTGGAAAAATAAGATGCCCATAAGAACCAAAGAAATCCTTAGCAAGAAAAGTAATGCAGGAAGCATCACATTACTAGGCCTTAAATTATACTACAGAGCTATAGTAGTGAAACTGGCATGGTATTAGAACCAAAACAGACATGAAGACCAATGGAACAGAAGGAGAGACAGAGACATACCCACATAAATACAGTTATTTCATACTAGATAAGGCTTCTTAAACATACATTGGAGAAAGGACAGTCTTTTCAACAAATGGTGCTGGGAAAATTGGAAATCCATATGTAGCAGATTAAAATTGAACTCCTGTCCCTCAACCTGCACAAAACTCAACTCAAAGTGGATCAAGGACAAAGGCATTAGACCAGAAACCCTGGGCCTAACAGAAGAAAAAGTAGGTCCAACTCTCCATTATGTAGGCTCAGGAACTGACTTCCTCAATAAGACTCCTAAAGTGTAAGAAGGAAAATCAAGAATCAATAAATGGGATGGTATCAAACTAAAAAGCTTCATCATAACAGAGGAAACAATCAAGAATGTGAAGAGAAAGCCTACAGAATGGGAGAAAATCTTTGCCACCTGCACCTCAGATAGAGCACTAATCTCCAGGATATACATAGAACTCAAAAAGCTTAACACAAAAAAATAAATAAATAATAACCCATTCAATAAATGTGCAAAGGAACTGAACAGACACTTCACAGAAGAAATACAAATTGTCAACAAATACATGAAAAAAACGTTCAATATTTCTAGCAATAGAGAAGTGCAAATTAAAACTACACTGAGATTCTATCTTACTCCAGCCAGAATGGCAAATATCAAGAATATAAGTAACAGTAAATGATGGCAAGGATGTGAGGGAAA